AGGCTCAACAAACACTGTTTCTGCCCCTCGAGGCAGGGTAACAGCTGGGCCTGCCCTTGAACTAGTGGGGCTGGCTGAGCTTGGGGGGAAAGTTGTTTATGAAGTGAGAGGCTGCACCCCATCCCTAGACCGAAGCTGGTTCCTTCTTCTGACTGCAGAGTGGGCTCTTGTGGTCTCTCTTCATGTGCAGCTGAGTTTCGGCTCCAGGATACTGGCAAGGGCAGGGAGGGTATGTTTGGAGAGTCTGAAAGGTCCTGGTGGTGTTGAGGGCCCTTTGGACACAGTGTCTCAAAGGCCGACCCAGCCTGTGTGTCCCTTTCCCTTGGTGAGGAGGGATGGCCAGTGAGCAGGACGTGACTGCCTCTGGGGAGGGTAGCCCAGATTTCACTTCCCTTTTCTCAACCCCGTGGTTTCCCATGTTGTCTTGTGACATCCCCTCCCCCACCAACAGGCCTTAGCGGGGTGCAGGTGTGAACACAGTATCAGGCAAGGAGACATTCAGAGGGGCGAGCTGGGGAAGTGAAACCCTGGCTTTTTTTCCGAGGGGACTCAGTCCTTGCACCAGTGTGTCTTCCCATGACTACTGATGCCTCCCCCACACCCCAGAGGCAGCCCGTCCCACAGGTCAGACCCACAAAACCCACAAATCTTCCTGACTCTTACATGACCACATTTCTACACATTCACCCATGATAGGCCACATGTTGGGGACACAGATTCACACATACTCATGTTAGCATTCACGTTCATGGGTGTACACGCACTCCGGCATGTGTGACACACACACACAGGACACATGTAGGAAGCGAATCTCAGGCCCCACATCTTGCTTCCTCCCTAGAGAAGGAGTTGTGGAGGAGGCTCGGGTAGTCCCAGGCCTGGGCCTGGGGGGAAACTGGCCCCAGAATCAAGGCGTGGACTTACGCTAGTTGCCAAATGCCTCTTGGTACTTTGCAGGTGGATCATGTGGACCCTGGTGAGCTTGGCGGCCTTAGTGACAGGGCTGGTGGCTGGAACGCAGTGCCCAGATGGCCAACTCTGCCCTGTGGCCTGCTGCTTGGACCCAGGAGGAGCCAGCTACAGCTGCTGCAATCCCCTGGTGAGTGCCCTCAGCCCAGGCACGAGCTGGCAGCTGGGGTTTTCCAAAAGGTCATGTTGGGGGGGCCCGAGGAAGGGGCCGGGCTCTGTCCTTTGGTTTAGCCGCTCCTCTCTTCCCAGGACAAATGGCCCACAGCGCTGACCAGGCGTCTGGGCAGACCCTGCCGGATTGATGCCCATTGCTCTCCTGGCCACTCCTGCCTCCTCACTGTCTTGGGGACCTCCAGCTGCTGCCCCTTCCCAGAGGTGAGGGCACACTTAGCTCGATGGAGGGCTCAGTTCTGTGTTCACATGTTTCCTACACTCTTCCGCCCCAGGCAAGAGGGCCTAGTCAATGCAGCTGTCTGTGTCCCACAGGCCGTGTCATGCGGGGATGGCCGCCACTGCTGCCCAAGGGGCTTCCACTGCAGTGCTGATGGGCAGTCCTGCTTCCGAAGATCAGGTGCAGTAGGGGTGGGGGTGGAGGGCAGGCAGATGGGCGGCATGTAGAGCTGGAGCACCCAGGAGCCCAGCTGGCGGGGTGACCCTGATTTCTGCTCTCATGTCCTCATTCGTGTGGCATCTCTACTAAGCACCCGCCCTGCTCTGGATAGAGGGGCAGCACTGGGGCTAGGAGGGGAAGGAGAGAACATGAGACCTCAGGCCTAGAGCCACGCATTGCAGGGGTGGGGAGAGGCCAAACTGGGCTGGTTTAATGCCAACCCAGCCAATGGATGCCCCTGTCCTGTGCCATGTGTCTGAAGCAAGACCTGGCTTGTGGAGAGTGGTTTAAGAGTGCCTGGGATCCTGGCCGGTGGCTCAGTTGGTTGGAACATCAGCCCGTAGTACACCCAGATTGCAGGTTTGATTCCCGGTCAGGGCGCATACCTAAGTTGTTGGTTCGATCCCCAGTTAGGGTGTGTACGGGAGGCAACTGATTGATGCTACTCTCTCGCATTGATGTTTTTCTCTCTCACCCTTCTCCCTAAAATCAGTAAAAACATATTCTTGGGTGAGAATTTAAAAAAAAAGTGCCTGAGCCCTGGTGCCAGCCCCCCGACCCCCTGTAGCTGGGAGTGTAGGCCCTGGTGCCAGCAGCTCCTTGAGTGATGGAGGCAATGACCTCCACTGACTGGGTTGGTGGAATCCTGGGTCATCCTGTCCACAGATACCAACCCCCTGGGTGCTGTCCAGTGCCCCGGCAGCCAGTTCGAGTGCCCCAACTCCTCCACGTGCTGCATTATGCCTGACGGCTCCTGGGGATGCTGCCCCATCCCCCAGGTACAGGTTTGGGAAGATGAAGGTGGGAGGGGGCGGCAGGAGCAGAGTGAGGGGCTGGAGAGGGCAAAGACAGTCAGGACCATCTGTTCTCAGGCTACGTGCTGCGAAGACAAGGTGCACTGCTGCCCCCGTGGTACCACCTGTGACCTGGCTCATACCCGCTGCCTCACCGCCACGGGCACCCTCCCCCTGGCAAAGAAGATCCCAGCACAAAGGACTAATAGAGCAGGTGAAGAGAGGGGTGAACTTTGGGTTGGGGGTTGGGAGTAAGGAGAGGCCTTGCCTGGCTTCGAGCCGAGGAAAAGTTCCCCCCCACCCTGGCTGCCCCTCAGACCTTTCTCCCCTTCCAGGGATCATGTGCCCAGACGGACGGTCCCAGTGCCCTGACGATACTACCTGCTGTGAGCTGCCCAATGGGAAATATGGCTGCTGCCCAATTCCTAATGTGAGTGAGGGGCTATGCCAGTTGGGCTACGTGCCCACAGCCACCTAGCCTGGACACCTACGTTGCAGGGATTCCGGGGGTCGGAGGCTGGCTGACAGGTTGCTGGGAGCCTGGCTGCTCAGGACGTATGCTACCCCCTAGTGGGGGATTGGGGCAGTGCCAGCTGTCAGCCTGACTTCCTTGTGCTCAAGTAAGACTGGAAGCCACAAAGACCCGCCCTTGCCTTCACCCAGGCCATCTGCTGCTCCGACCACCAGCACTGCTGCCCCCAGGACACCGTGTGTGACCTGGCCCAGGGGAAGTGCCTCTCCCAGGAGAACACTACGGACCTCCTCACCAAGCTGCCAGCACACACAGGTACCAGAAGCAGGCCCCAGACTCCCACCTGCCCCAGGAGGAGGAGCTTCCCACCAGGCTCTTCCAGGAGCAGATATGGGGGCGGGCACTGGTGGCTGCATGGAGGGGCCAGGGCAGGTACAGCCCCCTCTTCTCCTCATTGGGCTTCGCTTCAGGATCCCTGCCAGGGGTGCCCTTCCATCCTCCACATCTGGTTCCAGCTGTGGAGCCCACCAAGGGTAGGACCTCCAGACGGTCCCCAGTGCGACTGCTGACTTGTCCTCCTTGCCCCGCCCACAGTGCAGGAGGTGAAGTGTGACACGGAGGTGAGCTGCCCGGAGGACTACACCTGCTGCCGCCTACCGACGGGAGCCTGGGGCTGCTGCCCGTATGTCCAGGTACCCAGGAGTGGTGGGTGGGCTGGGCTGAGGCGGGCAGCCAGCTAGGCCCCTGTGCCTACTGCCCCCTCTCTACCCACCCTAGGCTGTGTGCTGTGAAGACCACGTGCACTGCTGCCCAGCCGGGTTTACGTGTGACGTAGAGAAGGGGACCTGTATGCAGGAAGGCCGCCAGCTGCCCTGGATGGGGCAGGCCCCAGCCCGCCTCAGCCTGCCAGTCCCCCAAGCCATGGGGAGTGATGTCCCCTGTGATAACGTCACCAGCTGCCCCTCCTCCACCACCTGCTGCCGACTTGCATCTGGAGAGTGGGGCTGCTGTCCTGCCCCAGAGGTGCATGGGTACTGGAGTAGCACTTGGGGGCGGGGGGGCATTGTCTTGACCTGGGCAGGTGGCCAGACTCCTGTTACCTTGCTCTTCTGCTCTCTGCCTGGCCCCCAGGCACACCAGCTCTCAGATTTCATTCCCAGCTGGAAGGACTGAGCAGAAGAGGCAGAATGGGATAGGGGCTCAGTGTTTCGTCCCACACAGTATAGCTTCCTAGATCACTCTCTCGGCCCTTTCTCCCCTCGCCAGGCTGTCTGCTGCTCGGACCACCAGCACTGTTGCCCTCAGGGCTACACATGTTTGGCTCGGGGGCAGTGTCAGCGGGAGAACCAGATCGTGGCTGGACTGGAGAAGGTGCCTGCCTACCGGGCTTCCTTGACCAAACCCAAAGACACGGACTGTGACCAGCACACCAGCTGCCCAGTGGGGCAGACCTGCTGCCCAAGCCTGAGTAAGAGCTGGGCCTGCTGCCAGTTGCCCCACGTGAGTGTCCACCTGCCTGCCCCGGAGTGGGGAGCTGAGTCCTGGGGGTGGAGGGGACAAGAGCATAATGCCACTCCCCTCTCCCCCCCAGGCTGTGTGCTGTGAGGATCGCCAGCATTGCTGCCCCAATGGGTACACCTGCAATGTGAAGGCCCGAACCTGTGAGAAGGAGGTGGATTCCGCCCACCTGCCCCTCGGCCCTCACGTGGGTGTGGGGGACGTGGAGTGTGGAGAGGGGCACTTCTGCCACGATAACCAGACCTGCTGCCGAGACAGCCGCGGGAGCTGGGCCTGCTGTCCCTACCGCCAGGTCAGTGCCATCCCTCCCCTGGGTCTGGTCCGGGCCTGGCCGGGTCCTGCCCTAACCCTCGTGCCCTCCTCTGACCATCCAGGGCATCTGTTGTGCTGATCAGCGTCACTGCTGTCCCGCGGGCTTCCGCTGCGGGGCCAAGGGCACCAAGTGTTTGCGCAGGGAGACGCTGCGCTGGGACACTCCCCCGAGGGATCCGGCCCCAAGACAGCTGCTGTGAGGAGAGACTGGGGACCAAAGACACTCCACAGCCCCCGGGGCCCTGTCGGAGGGCACCCGCTGCTCAGGCCTCCCTGTCACCTCTCCCCCACCAAATTCTCCTGGACTCTCTATTCTGAGTCCCCATCATTGAGGTGGGGTCTCCATCGAAGGCCTTCCCTGTACAAGGAAGCTGTGGCAAAAGCCACGCTACAAGCTGCCATTCTCTCTCTGTTTCTATGGACCCTGTGGCCAGGTGCTCTTCCCTATCCACAGGTGTGTGTCTATGTGCGTGTGTGTATGTGCGTGTGTATGTGCTCCAATAAAGTTTGTACACTTTCTTAATAGTGTCCGATTTGGCCGCCCTGCCTGCCTTCCCCAGGAGATCCCTGAGCAAGGGTCCCCCATCCAGCACCCAATTCCCTCAGCCCCACAGACACACACCGAGTTCATCTCACCAGTTTTATATTTGCTGCTGCCCACAGCGGTCCTATCACAGTATCCCGTTGCCCAGAGCCCCCCAGCCACTAGCCCCGTGACTTGGTAGCCCAGAGGTGGGCTAGTCAGCAAGCAGCACCCCTCCCTTCCCAGGGGTCCACAGAGAACTCCCCCTCCCTTCCCAGCCCTCATACTAGCAGCTAAGACCTGGCTGCCCCTCCTGCTTTCTCACAATAGAACTTTCTATGTACACCGTTTATACAGGCACTGCTTGCCCCCCACCCCGCCCGCCTCCCCAGCACCTCCCAATGGGGGTCTGGACCCCTCCCACCGCCTTCCTGGAGGCAGCCCTGGGGTCCCTCCCCAGCCATTACCCAGCACATACCACTGAACAGCTCTGCAGGCCTCTGGGCACCTTTCAAA